CAGACAGATATTGTCAAGGTGAGAACGAATGCTTTAGAAAACCTAGCCAAACATTAGGTCAAGAATGATGACCGGCTTGGTGCGCAGGTGCGACTAAACATCAATCTCACTTTCTAATTTATCTGTAGTGTAATCTTGCAATGTTAATGCAGTGAAGTTATAGCTAATATACACACACGATGCTCGAGCCAAATTAGAAGTATAATAAGACTTCAGGCAAATCAAGCATTTTAAGGAGTATGACGCGTTCATCACACTCGTCTATGATATAGAAGGAGATAGTCCCTGCTCATTTCCCAATCTTCTACTTCGCTTTGGTCTCCATCTCCTACAAAAGCTTGGGTATTTGACGACTATATATGATATAACATAGTAATGAAAGCGGTTCCCGTTATCATAATAAACAAGGAAGGATAGGACTTAGTGCCAAATTTTGTGTACTACCTACGAATACTAAAGACAATAAATATTTGAATTCACGGAACTTTCTTCAGATACAAAATAAGGTCGGATTGATAAGGGATCAAATTTTTCACGTACACAGAATATAAACGAATTATGCAATTAGTAAGGTCAACCTCTAAAAAGCGAACCCAATCAGAAACGATTACCTCAAGCATGTAGTTAAAAATACAGCCAGCTATTGACTTTTATCTGCTGGACTGGCAATGAAGTAAATCAAAGTCGTAGGGACGAGTAAGAACATAAGTAACTCCGCCTTGGGTTTAACCGACCCATTTTTAAGACTGGTATTCAATCCGAAAACTCATCAATATAATCTGTATTACCGTCCCTCGAAAGGTTCGAAATAAAGTGTCAATTGGTTTAACTAAGCGAAATTTGCCACGCGTATTGGAGAGCATGTTCAAAAGCATCGCTTCTGGAACTATGGCTAAACCTAGATTTAAGATATTGCTTTTCACTATGGAAGACTTATATGTATGTACATAAGCATATATATATATATAATAAAAAAGCCATATGATAGAATAAATAACGTGAAGAATGTTACCGTGGTGCAATAAAATTGTCGAGAAAAAACACTCGAAGACAAATTTTGTAGTATAGAGAAAATGCAACTTTAATCCAGGAATCCATGTAAAATCAAGGCATTATTAGAAATTGCATGCAAAATATAAATGAATAATGAGCAAAGGATTTAATTTTATATTAGGACTAAAATGACATGGCTATCGCAATAAAATAAACTTTAAACACGCTAAAATGTAGTATAGGGGTTTGTTCCGAAAATGCGGATGTGTCAAGATAAATTAAGCTAAGTAGACGTAAAAATAGAAGGAACGTCATATAAAGTGGATTAATACATCTAAAAAATTGCTGATACAAGGAAATTAAATTTATTTCTAAATTTAGTTGAAGAAATCTGCCTATTAAAGTTCGTTATGAGTGTTTGAGGTAAGTATGCTAGCTCAAAACATAATGGAAAAAAATGATAAGAAAAATGCTTTTTACCTTGATAGTTCGGTCGCCACTTGCCGAGACAATATACTTATCATCAAAATCAACAACATTGACGGCCGCCCTGTGGCCAACCAACACCTGACGCAATTGGATTTCTTTCGGACTCGGTCCCATATCCCAGACAGCAATACTGCGATCCTTTTGAAGTGCAAAAAAGGTAAGATAAATTTAAAGGATGATGACGAAAAGGAATCTAGGTCGACAAAAGTAATTTGGGTATTGTAGTCCTAAGGAATAAGTCTCACAGTAGAGAAGATCATAGGCGATACTATTTTAAAAAGCGAAAGCAAATAAAGATCAAATTGAATAATAAAACATAAACAAAATCACTAA